CACACCCACACCCTCAGACCCACAACCTCACACCCACACCCACACCCCTTTCTGGTCTTTGCAGTTTATTCAAACCACTGCCACCACCAGGTCCACCAGCAACAATGGAACTTTGGGTTTCACCATACTTCAATTTAATCAGTCGATGATTATCCCGGTCAGTTATATTGAGAGATCGGTTTCTATCAAGGTAAATTAGATATGGATGATTTAGTTTGGATATAATTACTTCTCCAACAGTCTCATTTATCAGTAGTTTTATTACTTCACCTTTCTCTCTGTCAGATATATAGAGAGATTCTTCATCATCTAGTGCTATACCGTACGCAGAAATACTACGTATAATTGTATCACCAGTCGAAGCACCACGAAACCAGCGTTGAACGCGACTATTTTCGGCATCACTAATGTAATGTGTTCCGTTTTTACTGAAAACAAAACCACGGGGACCATGCAATTGATCGGGTGCGTCTCCTCTACCGCTTCCACCGGCAACCACGACTCCACTTAAATCACCAACATTCCATTTAATAATACGATTATTGACATTATCCGAGATATAAATTGTTTGATTTTCGTCCACGACAATGGCAGCAGGATGATTCAATTGGTTAAGATTCGATCCTGCTCCGTTACCACCAGCCACAACTTGACCAACTCGTTCCCATGTAGCTGTTGCACAAATACCATCACCAGGTTTTGACGGCAAAGATGTGGCTAAATGAGTTGACGAAAAAGATACAAAATTGATATGTTCGACTAATGAAGTTGTTCAATATTAAATGATTTTGTTTTTGAGTCAAAATTTCATATCTATCTTAAAACACTTTTGAAGTATTGCCTATTTGAGATTTTATCATTATCTCATATCGACTTGCAATTAGAAAAAGAAAACATCGTTTCTGAATGAGACAATATCAAAAATCTTACTAGAATGAGTAGTTGTTGCTGAAGTACTCATTGTAGTTATAAATGTCATTATTGTTGTTAATGGCTCTGTAGTAGTCATTGAAATTATCGCATCTGTTATCGATGCTGTTAATATTGTTGTTGCTGTCTCATCTGTTATTGACACTGTTGTTGCTATTGGTGATGTAATTGATAGGCTGTTTGTAGTTGCCGCTAATGTTCCGGTGGGTACTGTTCTTATTGTTGAAGTTGTGGTTAATACGGATATCGACAGTGATGCCGTTAGTGTTTTTGTGCTATTATTTGTTACCATCGTTGTAGTTGAGTTGACAGGTATGATAATTGTTGGTTTTAGCAGTGATGAATGCCGTTATTGATGTTACTGTTTGCATTGTTGTTGTACTATAGTTCGCTATGGTATGAGTTACAACAGATGTTGTTACTGGATTTCGTTTAACAGTGAATATAACAGCACATGCAATTACGACTGATAAAATTAACATAGTTATGATAGCGATCAAAATAGAACGGACAGTATTGTGTCTGATAAATCTAAGAATTCTTGAAGGAACACTTGTTTTAACATGTGCCGTCGATTTTTTTTCAGGCTGAAAAGACTTCTGTTGAATATTTTGCATGCGAATTGGTTTCTCGCTGCGATTGTGATGTGATGTCTTCTTGTGAACTTGTCTTGAATGATGATGAGTAGACTTTTGTCCTATGTTTTTTCAAAAACAGAAATACACACTCTTAAAGTAGATTGCAAACCAAAAAAAAGTCAAACATAATTTAAAAGGTTGTGAAGAAACAAGTAATTTTCTCATCAGACATCGATTAATATTTCTAAACGCAAGGAAACATTTTATGATATCTCACTGAAATGATTCACGACAAATATGAGATTTTATTTTGCAAATTTATTCTTCGTTTATATCAAAGAGTCACCTCCTGAATAATGTTTCATTATCTGTTCATTTGAACTATCCGTAACGACCATAATGCCTTATTAGTTAAACTTTTATTTTGATTAATAATAAATGCGGAAACCTCGGATTTAAATCCGAGCGTTATGTGTACTTCAGAAAGTGAAGAAGCGATTCCTTAATCCAAAAAAAAAATTATTCAGAATTTTCAAAATCTGAGTTCAGATTCAGATTCCTCGACCTCAATTTGCTTTCGCCAACCTTTATAAAATATCGTTATTTTCTCAAAAAAATCCTTTCCTTGGCCCAAAGTTTGAGCTCAAATTCTTAATGCTTCATATACCATTTTGTAGCTCGTGAAATTCTCTATCGAATGGTATATAATAGTTGGGGTTTTATTTTGACTATGATAGGAAAAGTCTTTTATGAAAGTGGGTATAGGTCGATTTTCTCCTAAGAGACCATAGGGAAAAATCAGTATTTTTGCAATAACTCAAGAAGAGCTCATCCAATCAGGCTCATCTTCGAACTCGACCGAGACATTGATAAGACTAAACTGTGTAGAAAATTTCATCATGATCTGACTCTCCTTTCGAAAGTTATCGTGTAAACGGACGGACGGTCAGACACACTGACCGATTCTAGTAGTGTACTCACTTTTTGAGTACACTAAAAATGAATCTGCATGTGTTTTACTTTTACCTTTCATCTCATGGAAATTTTATCAACGATGACTATAACGTGTTGTGTTAATTTCTAGTCTTCAATGTTATCAACTCTTCTTCATATTCTGCAATCATATGTAAATGGTCATTTTTTACTTATATTTGACAAAGATAATGATAAGAATCATTTGCCTAATCACATATTGATTTTTTACTCTGACATAGTTCTATAATATCAAATATAATGCTTAAAATAATATTTGCTAGCATTAGATAACTATGCTTATGGATATTGTGCTTTAATAAAAAGACGAATATCTCAAGTACAGAATAGTGGAATCGGATAAAAGATTTGGCTACCTGGATATACTATGACGTTAGCATGAAAACCTTCCATGATCATATATTGCGTAGTTCTCCATCAACAAGGACGATAAGAAATAAATATCACACGTTCTCTCTTCCTTTGTATAGGAGACTATGAGAATTATTGATAATAATAACTACAACAAAAGCCATAGCATTGTACTCATACTTACCTCATTTATTCGACTTTTATGCAGTCGAAGATATTCTGTATTAATCAGTTCATTTTGTTATTTCTTTAATGAAAACAATTCAACTATGGCTTATTTTTATTTAGGTGTGATAAGTTTTGAAATAAAAAGAACTATTTTAAAGTTTGAATCATAATAAAGATCATTTAGCTCGTTCTTACTTCAAAAGAATACTTGAATATACACTTTTTGATCGAATTGATTCTTGTTTAATCCAACAAAAAATAATAAATTTCAAAAGGCAATATTTTATATTTGTATTAGATTGATATCCATGAAAACTCAAATGTGGGGAGTATATGAGACGTTTAATCGTCTCTCTATTCTACCCGCATCCAAAGTTTTTCTGGTGAAAGTTATTAAAAGTGAAAACTTGAAACGAAAAAACTTCCTTCGGTTCACCTTCCGCCTGTGTGGGAAACATCTGGTGTCGTGATTAGCTGAAATACATGTTGTTGTTTATTCTGTTTCTGAAGTTCTTCTGCATGAGCCAAAGTACAACGTTGCTCACATTTTTCACAATAGTTTAACGAAGAACAATGAATACATCGGAAGAGAATGCCTTCAATATCGTTATGACAGCCATTACATCTGAAATGTTTTTTGTCATTAATCCATAGATTAAATCTATCAAAATATCTACCTAATGCCTTTATGAACGATTCTGTGCTTATTTTCTGGACGTGGTAAAGAATTTTTAATTTTGTCTGGTGCGGTATCGATGCTTGGTATGTAAGGTTTAGTATCGTCCCATGTGAAACTTTTGCCACATCCTGACTGTTGATCACCTCCGTGATAATTACGCCCACATACCATACTACTGCATCCTCCCATATGTTGCACAACTCGTTTACAATGCGGACAAAGACGACAATTTTGAGCTTTAAATGCTTCATCAGCCATTAGTTCTTCGTAACGACGACGCAATTCTTCGTTTCGCTTAACATTTGATCCTAATTGTCTTTCATATTCTTCTAATTGGGCACGATAGGTAACATCTTCTTGCGCCCGAGCTCTCCAATAATTGCCACGTTCTTCAAAATACAATAATATAAAACTTAGTTCACTGAGAATCCTTTCTCAATTGTTTTTACTCACCTGTATTACACCAAACAAACCATTGTTGTGTTATTTGAGCTACTTGTTGACAGTTTGTTCGATAATGATATTGTTGATTACAAATCGAACAAAATTCATTTCTGCAAGCGTTACATACGACCCGAAAACGCTGATTTGGATTTCGTGCTTCCACAACCCATTTACATCCTCGATTGGGACATTTAATGATGCCGCGAGCATGATTTATAAAATTATTGAATGTCTTCTCTGTTTGATACTCATGAAATTTTCTCTTCTGGCTCCGAGATACTCGCAATTGATTGATTTCTCCGTCATGTAGCTGATAATCACAGATACCACATGTAAGCAGTTCATTGTTATTCATCTTTGATGTGCACGATTGTTCAAAGCAATTGTAACATAATTTATGACTCTCTTTGCAACCAAAAACGAAAATATCTTCATATGGAAATGTTTCCATGCAAGCAGCACAATCAAGAGTAGGCACTTTGTATGGAAATTCGTCTTCTACAACGAAAAAGACAAATGAGTACTAAAAATCATGACCAACAATGATATGTGCGTCCAATCAACCGTAAGGACAAAAAAAATGCGCTGTTTTGGACCTATTGAAATTTACTTTCGCTTCCTGATTAATTTTTAGAAAATTCATACAGACTTCAGGTACAAATTTGTTAGAATTTTCTCAACTAAACATTTAAAACATAAAGAAAACGTCTAATACTGAAAACTGAATCGATTCACGCTTGACATTATTAGAGGACATACCAACTAGGGCTAATGCATCAACAATTTCATGAGGATCGATTGTTCGCCGTTTCTGTCTTTGTAGTTCGATGTAATAACGAACTTGTACTGGTGTAAAAGGATATTTCAGCTTCGATGCGATGAAATCTATGAATGCTTGTCGCCGTTCGTGTACTGGAATATTACGACAATAGGCTGTGTGTTCATCTAATTGATAAATTTCGTATAAGCAATGGCAATACTCGCATGGTATCATATCATTTGGATTGCAAAATTTCACATGTTGTTCATATGTTTCCATCGTTTGAAATTCGATATAAAACAGACATCGAGGACATTGAGGACGTTGTTTTGTAATAACAAGTGCTAACAAACTTGTAAGCATATCCGGTTTCAACGGTAAACATGAAACATCATATTTTGACAACTGATAATTACAAACACCAGCACAACAACGTGGTTCGGTTTTTTCTCTGATATGTTCTTCCATAGACTTCTGCACACATGGAGTACATAGCATGTGATGGAATTTACACGGCATGACATGACTCAAAGTTTGTTTCAAATCGAATGGTGATGTACTAAAAGTAATATTTTATGAACCAAATGTATTTAATATTAGTTGTAGAGTGTGGGTGTAAAGTTAATGAATATGAATGATTAATATTTCTAACAAATGTTCTTCGACATGTCTTACTTTCAATTATCTCATTTTTCTCTTGATAAGTAGAACTTGAACTGTTTCAAGAAGCGACATGTCAACTCATAGTTGTCGAATATTAACTTCTAATCCACATGAGATATTCAAATGCAATCATTAATGAATTTCTAGCACTGATTATGTTCTAATCGAATTCAAACACTTTACTCACCACATGAAACATGAATATTTGCTATGCATGGATGACTTTGTTGAACGAGATGTATTAGATGATCGATTACGACATGCATTTACGTGATCATTATATTCCAATGCTGCAATATCCTTTGAACAAATAATGCACGATTTGAAATTCTTGGAAACTGTTGAAGCTATTTCTTGTCCATTTGTATCGGTATCCATTGCTCTAAATAAATAATTCATTAAATAAACAAAATAACAAACACTACTGTTTATTTTTACTTTCCTCTTAACAAATATTTGATTGTATGAAAACTATTTGCCTACAGTAGTACTTGAAGATTGTATAGCAAAATGTTTTTATAAATTCACTGTTCACTAAATGTCATTGTTTTTATGAGAGATATTTTATTTTATTTTCATCATTCACATCTTCAAAGTTTCACTCTTTAAACAATATGGTATAGAAGTTTGAAAATGTAAACGAATTCACAGTGGACCATGTGAACTTCATGAAATTCCTGTGTAGTATTGATTAATTTTCATAAATTTGTGTTTCAATTATCTATCAATAAAATTGGACAATCGATTTAAGCTAGAAAGAGTGAATACTGATAAATGTTTATACTGATTTTTTGAAGCACTCAATCAAAGCTTAATTTATATTCATTTTAGTCAGTGTGAATGGTTACATGAAAGAGTTTATGAAAGCAACAGATATAAGTCACTAACAAACTATTTTCTATAAAATAACATCGAACAGTTTACTTCGATCAATGTATTTACTTCAAAGGTTTCGCTTGATTCATTTTTGAAGCATGATCTTCATTAAAATGTAAACAGAAGAATTTTCTCACACATTTTCATTGAAAAAAGTTTATTTCATATTTAAAACATCTTCACATGTTAGCTGTATAAAAAAGCGGAAAAATAACTTACGTCATGAGTAAAACTTACGTGTATGTCTTTTGTATCAACTTTGATATCAGTACGTCAATTATTTCTAAAAGAAAAAACGAGTAACAATCAAATACTTTAAAAAGACTTATGCTGAATTGTTATCGTTAGCAACCATATAAATACATAGCCATGTGATGCATATTTGATGAGGGGAAAAATAGTTTTAAGGTGAGAATCAAGAAACAAATATATACTTGTTACTCATTTCTCGACTGTCATGTTGTTGTGTCGGACAGAAAAAGAAAACTATCGATACAATGGTAATTCATGGAGGATTGACTCACTTATAGTACAATGTTTGAGTCAACGCTGCTTCTTGGTTTTTTTCCCAGTGAAGCAAATTTTCTAGCAGTAACAAACATCTAATGATACCATGAATAAGACTCTTATTTATATTCATCAAGTAAAAAACGTCATTGTGAGCTTTCCTGAACTACAGCACTATATATCATTGGTTGAAGCAGAAATTTTAATGAAGATGTGTGTTAATATGCAAATACATAATTGAATAAATAATAAGAAGAGCTACAACCATGTTTTTCATATTCTGAAACATCATCAGAATATCGATCTTTCAGATAACTTATTCATATTTGAATTTTAATGAAAGAAGTACAATAAAGTTATAATTATTGGATCTCGAAGTAAGCAGTTCAGAACCAATGATATCGAGCTACACTATACCAGAAATTTGGAGCTTTTCAGTTGAAAAGATGTATACCGTCAATGAAGATGTCGGATATCGTTACACTATTAATTCTTATTAGTATGAAATGCACTTGAAAATTAATGCAGTAATGTTTCAAAGATTAGTTTTATTGCATGAGAAGCTTCCTGTTGATTTATTACGGTAAAATCTCTATTAGTGAACATCCATTCTAAGTGATCAATCTGTTATACCGAACTATATTCTGTTCAATAAACTGAAATACAAAACAAAAGCTTAGTATAGATTACTTTAAATGTTCATCTGTTAAAACTCATGAGAATCTGATGCAATAATCTTTTTTTATACTGTAAATGAATCAAGCATATTTCGTACTCTTATACACCACAACATTTCATCAGATTTGGACAAATAAATATTATTAAATAAAAAAATCTCTATATTCCGACGAATAGTCTCCTATGTGATCAATCTGTTAATTTTTTTGTTTGAAAAATGAAGAAAAACTGGTTTAGGTTTTGAAACCAATAATTAGTACATTTCATTGTACTACTCCCAATCAATCTTGTAAGGAATGGTATTTGCGATGCAGAAGTTCAATATCTCACTGAACCTTTTCGAAAGAATACCAAAACCTGTTTTCGTTTCCATCGATCCTTGATTTTATATCTTTCTCACCCAGGAATTGACCTTATTCAGTGTTAAGGTGTGGGTTGAGATATATGTGTATGTCACAAATACATAACAAAAACGTTTTCTAAAGATATTAGTATACAATTTTATCGAGTAGTAAGACTTTCGTCTGAAAAAAAAAGAATAATTGTGAACTTATGATAAATCGCAATGCAAACATCCATAAGTATGTATCAGAATTGAGAAAAAGTTACCACTAGTGAACAAACAGCAACATTACGCTGCTTTTCTCTACAAGGAATATTGAAAAATGCACTAAAAGCTTTAAATGTAAAAATGATAGAGATAATCAATACAGTCGTTTCATTGCAACATACTACTTATTGGTTTCTTTTAACCCTTCTTCTAACTGAAGGGTGTGTGGTGTGGGTGTGGCTGGGTGTGGCTGTGGCTGTGCGTGTGGATATGGGTGTGTGGTGTGGGTGTGGCTGTGGCTATGCGTGTGGGTGTGGGTGTGAGTTAAGTCAACAGTTTTACCCACACCCACACCCACCCACACCCACACCCAAAAGCAAATACATCAGAAAGTTAGAAATAGGGTTAAACTGAGTTAATAAGTGTGAATCAAAGTTTTTGAAGTCATTGTTTATTCTAGAACAAAAGTCCTGTTAAATTTCTTTGCGAAACTCTTGTTCCTTATCCTACTTTACCATTTCTACTCGCATATAGATATGTGAACTAAAAATCTCTCATTTTTCAGTGGATAGAAAATGTCGATTGGAGAAATTCATTGCTTTAAAAATATACTTAAACGGTTTTTTGATGATAGAATCTGAAGACTCATCGGGCACTGCCAGATTACGTGAAGAATTAGCTAAATACCGTGAACAACATACTGAACTTGTCAAATGTTTTGATATTCTCAATGAGAAATCGAAACGTGAAAAGATCGAATCATTTGAAGATCTCGAAAAATCAAAAAAAAAAGAAACAAAAACAGTTCTTGTAAACTTGGCTCAATTAACTAAACCAACTCCATTGGAAGGTATCAATATTGGTCTTTTTGGTTTGACATCAACTGGAACATCAACTATAATTAATTCTCTTTTTGGTCAAAATGTTGCTGATACTGGTTTTGGTGAAACTACTACAAAAATTACACCATACAATGGAATTATATTTACACTATGAGATGTTCCGCAGCGAAATGATGAAGTATCATTTTTGAGTATGGAATAATATATCTTTCTTTAAAGGTCTTTCACGACGTCTGATTCTTATTCAAATGACTGTGAAAGAAAATTCGAGTATGATGAAATTGGATTACATTATTATATTGTTTTCAACAAATTTGATAAACTTGATCCAGAAGAACAAGAAGAAGTTAAAAATCAAATTAAATCTGAAATAAAAAGTATTGTTCTTAAAAAAGCCGAACACATATATTTTGTTAGTGCTAAAAATCCAAAGATGTTCGACGACTGACTCACTATGGTTAATAGTTTAACAAGCTGTACTACATCGTAAGTTTCTATTTTCAGAAAGTTTATGTAAAACGACCCTATCAAAATTTCGAGGGGTTGAAATCAGCAACTCGAGAAATAAGCATCAAAGATAAGATTTCATGTCGAACTATACATATTTACAGTTGGGTTGACTAAGAAAATTCATTTTAATATGAGAAGTACATAAATATAAAGTATACATACTTTGGAGGGTGCGACTGTGGGTAAAACCTACATCTCACAATTAATAGCTATTGAATGATGCCGTTTTATATCATATCAGTATAATCTCTCGAAATATGTATGCATAATATTTGACAATTACAAATGTTAACACATAATGCACTTCGTTTTCTTTTTCGAAAAATATCAGCATAATAGACACTTCTGTAGACCACAGTGATGTGACATGAAAAAGACATTATTCAGTTGTTATTATTTGTTAAAATTATCATGTCAGGAATGATGCGAATTTTTATGAGAAAAATTTGAGTTAATTGGAATCTAATTATGATAGAAAAATAGATAATACAAGGAAAGAGTAATATGAAAACGAAATATTAATGACTGATCGGTAGTGGCAGTGAATAATTGTAAAAACGAGTGGTAGATGCCTCTTCTTAGAGTATAATTAAATATTGAATAGTGTAACCTTTGACGACATATGAAACTTTCACATCTGTAGCCAGACTGGATGAATTGTGAACCAAACTGAACTGAAAGCGGATGGCTGCAGGTAATGCACAATTTTACTTTAAACATTATATCGATTATTACGAAGTACTTCACTTTATGTATGAAATATATATTAGCATTAGTACTTTTTTGGATCAAAACTGTTACATGAGTACTGATTCATCGTAATCATGTTAACGAAATGGTGGAATAAATGCTCGAATCGATCTATAGTTATTTTCCAATTGTAATAATTCTGATGTATTCATTAGAATCTCATTTCCATGATAGATCTGTTTTACTTTCTCGATGTCTAAAAATATCGTTTGAAGCTTTATCTTTCATCGATTCTAAGTGATAATTACGGTGAATTGGTTGTTTATCGAACGAGCGGTCGGTTTTTCTATAGTACTGGTTAGTAATCATGTCAGTCAGTGTAAATTATTATAAGTGCATGAAGAAAGGCATTCGATGATTGATAACTGATGATGGTCGCATAATCAGATGAGAGACAAGTATTTTTTTTCTTTTTGTCGGAAAAATAGTTTTCAATATCTTCTACTCGAGAATAGGTAATGAGCACATTAGAAAAAAAACACGATAGAATATGAAGTTCGATAACGAACGAATAAGTGATCTTCTTCTCGAATGAGATGAATTATCAATTAAACGTTGAGGAGAAATGATAGATGATGCTAATCAAAAGAATATCCACTTTCTTTTCACTTACCTGAAATGTCGATTGACGAAGAAACTCATGTAGTAATGGACGAATATTTATGTGAAGAATATTTTCTTCTTGATCCAAATTTGAATTGAAATCTACCGAGAATTGTTCCTAGATGGAAGATCATATTATTAACCTAAGCAGTCACCGGTTGATCAGATCGATACTCACTCACTGTATTAGACATTTTTTTGTTTTTGAATTGGATGTTACAATTCATTTTGAAACTAAAATAAATCCATCGTATTGAACGAGTGATGATTGATGAGCAACTATTTCAGCATGAGGATTGACATTTAGCCGAAGATACACATAGAATCGAGCAGAATATTCATAGTACAAAATCCACACTTGATACCCTTGGATAGGATTCAGTTTTTTTTTTCGTTAGGATAGCTGAATTGATTGTTTATGCACATCCCTGATCAATAAAGTGAATATCATTTCATGGTTGAGAAACAACAGGAGTTATTTCTATCAAGAAAACAAGAAACTCAAAAGTAATGTTTTATTTGAGTTTATTAAGAGCGTAAAAAGTGATAAACATGCAGGGTGGCCCTAAAGTAAGGTAACAAGAAAAAGAAATTTGAATATTTCCATTATGATTCGACCAAACGGGCTCAATTTCGTACTGAGGATAAAGGCATGTTCACACTTTAAATTCATACAAAGAAGGTTAGTAAGTATCTTTGTTAATATCACTATTAACCTCATCAAGAAAATTTCTATTTTCCCACAGATAGGAAAAGAAAAAAAATATACTTAACAAAGGTTTTCACTAATTTTGTCTGTATGGATTTGGAGTGTGAACATACCTTTGCTTTTAGTAAAATAAATATGGAAACCTCGGATTTAAATCCGAGAGTTATGTGTACTTCAATAAGTGAATGAGACAGATCAGTCATCCTAGAATGGATGGACATCAAAATTATCCTGGCAAATCTTGTCTATAAACACTTGATTTCTATTGGCTACTGCTCAACCGATAGGATTTTGGGGTGAATACAACTCAGATTTGAACTCTTCACCTTCATTTACCCGAAGAAAATCGTTTTTCCTATAACTTGATTTCTATTGGTTACTGCTCAACCAATAGGATTTACGAGGCGAATGGAGCACAGATTCGAGTTCTCCGAGTCAGAAAACCTCGAACTGTCATCTGTGTGATCGGAAGATAAAGGTCTAATTGTGGATAAATTAGAGCGTGAACAAAAACAGAAGCGAATTCCGTTTAATTATCTTTGCAATAGGTGAGTTACCTTTCTTGTTTCCTTATGTTTTATATACCATATTGTAGCTCGTGAAATTCTCTATCGAATGGTATATAATAGTTGAGATTTTATTTGACTATGTTAGGAAAAGTTTTTTACGAAAGCGAAGATAGGTCGATCTTCGCATAGGAAAGAATTGGGAAAAATGACTATTTTCCCAATAACTTAGCAATGGCTCGGCCAATGATTCTCATCTTCGAACTCGACCGAGATATTGTTGAGACTAAACTGTGTAGAAAATTTCATCGCGATCGGACTCTCGTTTGAAAAGTTATCGTGTAAGCGGCCGGCCGGACGGGCACACTGACCGATTCTAGTGTACTCACTTTTTGAGTATACAAAAATCAGCTTGGTTGCTCAAGCCGTAATGGAAATATTCAATTTTCTTTTCGATCAAGTGACTTTTGCACTATCCTGTGTATTATTTTTTTCATACCTATGAAAACATAAAAATTTTCTTGATGAGATCAATAGTGATATTTAACAAAGGTTCTCACCAACCTTGTTCGTATGGATTTGGAGTGTGAACATGCCTCTATCCTTGGTAAAAAAATTGAGCCGACTTGGTCGACTCATAATGGAAATATTCAAATTTTTTTTCTTGTTACCTTACTTTTGGGTCAACCTGTAGTTGACAGAAAAATAAAAACAAAACGATTAATACGATGGAAGCAGCGCTATAATCAATCTCGAAAGATTTAATCATTCGATGAATAGTAATGGTAGTCTGGATAGATCCATAATAAAAATCACTTTTTAACATGGAAAACAATTTTTTCCACTCAGATGCTATTATCAGATATTCGAGAAATGGGTAATGGAATTCTCATCTAGATATATATACAACAGATTTAATAGATCCTGGGGTAAAGCTAACAAATCGATTGAATGAGAAATTTGACATTGTAATTGTTCAAGTAAAGAAAAGTTCGATTGAATAAACAACGGTTATATTCGTTCAAATTAGGCTCGTCTTCGCTTGAATCATCATGCACGAATAAACTATCATCAGTTCAATATAAATCAAACTTTTTATCATTCGTTTCATTATCAAACACAATTGCTCATCTGAACATAACAAGAATCGAAAGGTCTGAAAATCCATCGTTATTGAAGAAAGATTTGGAGCTTCGTTCAGCTAGTTAATCTTAAGTATATTGATATGAATGAGTGTGAGGACCGATTTTTTTCTTTGCAAAGGCATTACCAAAATCGTGGCATGATTCGATATGATCATCTCATTCGAAATACATTTAAGATAGTCTTATGTGAAATTTGTTAATCTTAATGCCTATTCAAAGATTTCCAATGCTTGTTCTAAACTGACAGAAGAAAACGTTCAATTTTTCATCAATGATGTTCGTGTTCGAGTTGGAATTTCATCAGTTAAACTTAGGTAAGTAAGTTCTATCTAACTTAGTCAATTATGATACATTTTATAAATCGAAATATAATGGAATTAATTGAATTAATTTGGTACATCGATCATAAAAATGATCAAATAAATTCAATATATTGAAAAATATCAAGTATCTTAATAATTTTCTTTCAAGCAACAGTTTTAATAGCTAAAACAGAAAACAAACAATATGTTTATATTCGCTTATTAATTATTCTTTTTTTTGCATCAAAGAATAAAAAGGAATGAATCAGATCTATATTTATAATTCTATGCTTCTGTGCATACTATATAACACACAATTTAGAGAGACAATTCGGATTGTATGAGAAAAACGAGTATAGATGAATAAACAACTACGCGTAATGATATATTCTGTTTCCTTTTCCAGTAAACGGTATATCATCCATTTGTTTCTCAATAATATAACTTATATAACGATGTAGATAATATCGACAACGAATTTGTATTCTCTTCTTTCGCCATTTCCGCATTGCACATGCATATAAAAACATTGGCTTATTGTATAATAGGAAACAACATACGAAGAAGTGTATATATATAATGGGTAAGACAAAAGTTTTGCATTAAGTTTTTTTCACGTTCACCATTTTTCGAATAACTTAATATTGTTGAGAGATATCTAACTCGAATTTTCATCATTGAAAAGAGCGATCACTGCCGTGTCTATCTGTATGACATTACTCTTTCGATTGGTGAAAACTCGAGCTCAATAGTTTTGAACTAATCGAAAATTATACGATGAAATGTTGTATGACACGATATCAAACCTTTGTGAAAAACATTAAAAAAATTAACATCAAGAAGATTTTGTCAATTTGATATTAAATGTTTGTTAGTTGAGATATTTCTATTTCAAATACTCATAACTGAAGTAAAAATAATGATCCGTTGTTGATCACACTATTAATGCTAAACTTTTGTCTCATTCGATAGTTATACTCTTATACGTAAAAAGACTAGAATAACATTTTTTCTAATACTATATAATTGTTTCTATTATGCTATGTGTATAAGCTATTATTATTTCAGAAAGTAAAATAAATAAAGAATGATCACTGTTGTTTTTGTTTTTTAATTATATTATAATTAGAACAAAATTTTCTCAATGATGAATAAAAAAAAAGCTGGTGATACTGATTCATCATCATCTTCATCATCATCAACAACAACAACAAGACTAAAATATAATACAAAAGAAAGAGTTTGTACAACAGTTCCAGCAATACCCACATATCGTCTTGATATTGGAGATTTATTTTCTAATTCATCGGATTCAAAAGATAAACCTAATTTAGATATACTTAAACAACATATTTTACTCGAAGGTCGTCTTACTGAACAAGCTGCACTTCGAATTATCGAAACTGGTAAGAAGATTTGTTTCTTTTTTTCTTCGAGCAAAATTAGTTTTTAATTAGTATCAGATATGTTTACTGACTAACTTGAACTATACATTAATCCATCATGTAGGAATATCAGCTGAAATTTTTCGGGTTAAGCAACCCAACGAATGTAATATCTTATAATGTGAGGTCAGTTAGATAGCTTTTTGTCCGATCCGAATTTACATATGCGCTTAATAAAACTTGCAGATTGAGATCTAAAATTAGTTCTGTTTTTGATTAATATTCAATATTTAATTTTTTATCAATCAGGTACTACTCTTCTACGTGAAGAGCCAACATTATTAAATATTGATACACCACTAACTATCTGTGGTGATATTCATGGACAATTTTATGATTTAATGAAGTAAGTGAATAGAATTTTTAATAACTATTCAATGTTTATTTTTCTCATGGTAGATTATTTGAAATTGGTGGTTCTCCATCTGATACTCGCTATTTATTTCTTGGTGATTATGTTGATCGAGGTTATTTTGGAATAGAATGGTTTCATATTATTGTTTGTTTTTATTTCATTTGAAGATATTTATTTTTTAGTGTACTTTATTTATGGTCACTGAAAATTAATTATCCTCAAACATTCTTTTTACTCAGAGGAAATCATGAATGTCGACATTTAACGAATCATTTTACGTAAGAAAATTTTTCTTTAACAATTATAGGAAAATTTTCACTTTTTTTTTTGTAATTTAGTTTCAAACAGGAATGTATTGTCAAATATACAGAAAAAATTTATAATAGTTCTATGGAAGCATTTGATTGTCTTCCATTAGCTGCTCTTGTCAACAATCAACTTTTATGTGTACATGCTGGTCTTTCACCAGAAATTTATACTTTAGATGATATTAAACAGGTAAAATATATTGACCACCGATACATTCTAGCATAGTACAATTGTTGTCAATAATCCTACTATTCAGTCTATATACAGAATATAACAAAATTATAGTCCCTCCTTTTATTTTTTGAGATTTTTCAATCAAAGATAGATAGTTAGATGAAATCTAAATAATGATTTATATAGCTCTTGAAATTCTCTATCGAATAGATTGTAGACTGAAATTTCAAAAGAAACTATATGAAGTGAATTTTTCAAAAAACTGTTCTACTCAAAATTCAGATCTTCGAAAAGTTTGTTGGACATATTTTTCAATGTAAACACTTGAAAGAGCAAAACAATTCTGAATAAAATGAAGGATCGCTCAGTTCTTCACGATGTTACATCAGAAAAACTAAAAAAACTGCAAAATTGATCGAAAATCGCTAAAAATTGGGTAAAAACGGCCTTTTGTCGTTTTTTTTCTGACGGTTATAATTTTAATATGAAACATCGTGGAGAACTGGGCGATCCTTCATTTTATTCAGATTTTTTTGCTCTTTCAATTGTTTATATTGAAAAATATGTCCAACAAGCTTTTCGAAGATCTGAATTTTGAGTAGAACAGTTTTCTGAAAAATTCACTTCATATAGTTTCTTTTGAAATTTCAGTCTACAATCTATTCGATAGAGAATTTCAAGAGCTATATAAATCATTATTTAGATTTCATCTAACTATCTATCTTTGATTGAGAAATCTCAAAAAATAAAAGGAAGGATTATAATTTTGTTATATTCTGTATTTCCATAAAGTTTGAGAGTGATATATCGCTATGAGTAGAAGGCTGATTTAACGTAGTTTTCTCAAGCTTCTCACAAAACTTCCGACAATATCATAGGGCTAAATCGGAGTATCTATAAATAGATATTATCGACATTCAAATACAGTGCATGATGAATATCATTATTGGATTAATGAAAAACGTAAATCTTCTAAATCAGGTTGACAGAATTAGTGAATACTTAGGGTAGATAAAGATCTAAAAGTATCCATACATATTGACTTTCATGTTTACATGACAGTTGAATCTAACATAGAAGAGAAGTGATCCAGAGTTGTAACCGGCCCGGCGAAACCGGCCCGGACCGGGCCGGTTTGAACAGCTAGACCGGCCGGTTTTTACCGGTTTTTGCTGGTTTGAAAAAGTTGTGTTATTATTTTTTTTTTAATAAGATAATATTATTTATTTCTGTTCATTACAATTTTTGAAACGAAAAGAGCAAAAGTTTTGTTTTTCGATGTAAATTCAAATTTTTCTATACATTAAATTTCCTCTTAAAAGATTTCTATTATCTGCTATTTACAACATCTTAATAATCAGAACAGTGTCACATATTGATTGTTTTTTTTTTTCATGTATTCCTTTTGATATTAATTCAATTCTTGTTAACATGCCAACACATCTTTAATTAAATTAATAAAAAAGAGAGTAGGCCGTCAAGCTGATTGTACAGATAGATATACGCACGATACGATAAGTATTCGTCATATATTTTTTTTTATTCAACACAGTAAAAGTACGTAACATAAACTTCTTATTTTTATAATTATTATGGATGCGAACACATAGTTTGTTAATTTAATATGTATCATTATGATATTTTTTTTTGTGTAAATTTTGTATATAATAAAAGAAGAAATTTAAATCAATTATCAGCTTTTGCAGAAAAGAACTTTATTTTGTCCAGAACATATTCAATCGTAGAAATTTGTGTTATTGTTTGCTATGAAAATGATAATATACATGAAAAGGAAAGTGTAAAAACCAATTTATGGATAAAAGGTCTATGTCTAGAACTAGTTTTACCATGTAAAGAAAATTCATACGTCTGCCGGTTTTTGCCGGTCTAGAAATATTTTTAGACCGGCCGGTCACCGGCCGGGCCGGGCCGGTCTAAGATTTAAACCGGTCAGGCCGGTCCGGTCTGAATTTTTTTGACCGGTTACAACTCTGAAGTGATCAAACTATTAGAATTATTCATCGATATATTCACTAGCAACACGTTTTTTGTTTTGCAGTATTTCAGCCAACTGTATCTCTTATAAATAGTTCAATCTTTTTTTTGTTGTTATTTCTCTAGTTGGATCGATTTCGTGAACCACCAACTAATGGTGCAATGTGTGATCTACTATGGTCTGATCCAGCTGAAAATTATGGAAATGAAGAAGGATTATTAACATTAGTTGCAACTCCTCGTATGAATGCACAAGAAAAATTATCATCATCAGCAATAATTAATTCATCAGAATCATTATATCTTCCTAATACAGCACGTGGTTGTTCTTATTTTTATACATATGCTGCTATTAATGAATTTTTAATACGTAATCAGATACTTTCAGTAATACGTGCTCATGAAGCACAAGATCTTGGTTTTCGTATGTATAAAAAATCATCTAATACTGAATTTCCATCATTAATAACAATATTTTCAGCACCTAATTACTGTGATGTTTATGAAAATAAAGCAGCTATTATTAAATATGAAAATAATATTATTAATATTCATCAATTTAATTATTCATTACATCCATATTGGTTACCAAATTTTATGAATATATTTACATGGTCATTACCATGTGTTTGTGCAAAAGTCAATGATATACTTTTAAAAATTCTTAATATATGTAGTGGTGAAGAATTAAATCAATATGATGAACATTTTTACTCATTAATTGAAAATAATCAAATAGAACAACGTAAAGAACAAATACGTTCAAAAATACGTGCTGTTGGTAAAGTTGCTAAAATTTATAAAAAATTATGTCAATTAAATGAAAATGTCATTTCATTACATGGTTTAACACCATCAACTAGTATTACAGAATTAGATAAAGATATAACAGATGAAGCTGAACTTGCAGCTTTAATTCTTTGTCAAAAAGCAGCATCAGCAAAAGAACATTTTTCAAAAGTAAAAGTACTTGATCAAGTTAATGAGCGTCTGCCATCACCTAGAAAAACAATTCCATCAGCTGATCCAAGTATTGCTGAATGCATTTGAACAAGCATCAAATGTTAATCAACTATCATACACTATTAAAAAATATATGCCATCAACAGTATTTGCAGATGTAACAGTACAAGAAATTGTTAATATGATATGTCAAAATTATGCTGCCATACCACCAAGTTCACTTCTTAGACGTTCATCAACACTAGTTGTGGATTTACCAATAGTTGCCAATGAAAAATCAACATCAACTAAAAAATAATCCCAGTACTTATTTTTACCTTTGTTTGATTTAGTTTTTCTTTCTATCTTTGATTATTATTTTCCTTAATCTGCCTTATTTTGATTATTTATATACTCTTACTTTTAATAAATGAAAATTACGTGTAGAACTTTCATAATGATAATCTTTTATTTACATGGAAATGTTTCGAGCAAAGTGTCTGATACAGGACACATTATAGC